ATTATTTTGTATATTTGTTCTATCTCGTACGAAGCATAATATGCATGCCATATGATGAGGAGAATTAATACTATATCAACTAGAATTTTTAACTAATCACCCAAGACTTTAATAGCGAAAAAAGTATACATAACATCTGTATATATATAGGTATAACACTGATAGAAAGCTGATAGAACAAAGCTGATAACAACAAACAATAATGCATGATAATTATTCCCTGTGTCTCAATTTACATAGCACATTTAAGATTTCGAGAGTCAAAATTTTTTAATTGACTTTAAATTCGTACATAAAATATTTAAATTTTTTTAAATAAAATTTACATATTTAAAAACTACGTAAAATTTAAAAGACACACGAAAAAATCGTGGCTAAAGAAAAACTCGTTTGACTCTCGAAATCTGAATACTGCCACAAAAATTGAAACGGAGGGAGTACTTGTTTTTACATGTTCCTTTATAAGTAGAAATTTAAGAAAATTTCAAAATGATCTGTATTGATGGTTTCTCTGCAATTGCTGCCATTTACCCTTATAAGATGTTACTCCCTCCGTTTCAATTTAGATGAAGTAGTTTGACTCAGCACGAAGTTTAAGAGAAAAAAAGACTTTTGAAACTTGTGATCTTAAAAGTTTAAGGGGTAAATGCTTTGTGAGGCCATGACATTTTTGTGATTATAAAAATTTCTCATTAAGGGTAAAATAAGTAAAATGAAAGTTTAAAATTGAGCTATTTCCAAATTTAGAAATGTGTCAGTACCTCATTTAATTTGAAACGGAGGCAGTACTTATTATAATAGGATACCTGCAGTAGTACTTTCTGCACTATCTTGTGCGCGGAAAAAACTTACCTACACCCGATATCTGACTATCCGCTTAACCTTTCAATTAGTAGAATTGTGCATTTTTGGTCTCTATTAACAAATTCACCACCACCACCCTACTACCCCTACCCGAGAAGGTAGAATGACGGTTTCCGATAAACCCAGGCTCAAGGACGGATAAAAAACAACAAGCAGAAACAACAGTATTATAATAAGAAACCAAAGCGAATATTAACAAATTCACCAAAACTTGATATAATTGGAGAAACCAAAAGCATACATTTTGCTAAATGAAGGTTATGCACTTATATCTGATAATATATGGCAGAGATCACAACTGGAATGCCAAATCACAAACAATTTCTTAAATGTGAATACAAACACCCTAAGCTCACAGTCCTGAAAATTTGTGCTTGCTAATCCAGGAAAATCAAGCATTTTGTCACCTAGTTGTAGTTTAATCAACAACAACAACCTAGTGAAATTCCATAAGTGGGGTCTGAAAAGGGTAGCGTGTACACATACCTTACCCCTACCTTGTGAGGGTAGAGAGGCTGTTTACAATAGACCCTCGGCTCAAGGAAAATGCAAAAGGAAATAGTAACACAAGCAGTAACTAGTTGTAGTTCAATCAGCAAACTTAATCCTACAAAATGGATAAATCAAAGTTAAAGCTGCTTCCGCAACACAACACTATTCGCATACTAGTACTAGGGAGTCGAGGCTTCATTTACACGAGTGATCATAAAAGTATCGACATACTCCCACTGCTACAACTAGTTTATTGCAAAAGTTAAGGAAACTCGGGTTCATGCCTTCATGGTCATTGTGAAGCTTCATTCTTGCTCTTCCTGTATAAATAAAAATTAAGTTGAAATCTTACTCTTCTCCCTCTTCATCCTCATTATCCTCGATCCCTACCCAATGAGTAAAAGCAAAAAGGAATTCTTTGAAGTTCACCATTCCATTTTTGTCCCAGTCCATTTCCTCTACAAAACAAAAAGACAGGGCTTTACAAACTGCAATATATGAGCGAGTAAATGTATAGAGTATTACCTAAACTCTACCGACTGCATATAATAAAGCCTATAAAACATAGAAATATTATCATTTCTTTTCTTCGAACTTGATTTGGTTTCCTCATCAAGTCCCTCTGAGCGCAAATATCGCATTTCAATGTTCACATATATATTGACCAATCAAAATGCTAGCAAGGCACACGAATAGATGGGATTGGTTGTGTGTTCTGAGCAGCTCATTGTGACTCAGACAAGTATTGAACAAGTTCTCTTTGATTGCACGCTTACGAATCAATCGACTTAAAAGAAACATGTGGTTGCACGCCACTAGTGATTGGACTTATAGATGATATCACCACATACTTATATAAAAATCGAGTCTCTACCTACGTATATGAGAGAGCGGGAGAGAGCCAAAGAGAGAACTTACCAAATCTTCTCATTGCTATTCGACCAGAAGACCTTTCTCCTGATGTTGTTTCATTAATTGCTTGAATCATCTCATTCCTGCTTACGTGACCATCCTTGTTCTTGTCCAAAAACACAAAAGCATCAACAAGAGTTTCAAATGTTACCTCCAGATTTGGTAGTCCCATCCGTGATTTCTGTATTTGATCAAGGAAAAAACAACTCTGCTGGTGGGGTCAGGGGTCTGACCGATTAGAAATGTAATTCCTCATGGAGGGCTACAGACTGCTCAGAAGATGGAATCCATCTACGGGAACATGTAAGCAGATAATTGGTCTTTGAAAAGCACCGTGTCGCTTGAAAAAAGGATAAAGATCCCTCCCAACTACCCCAAATGAAAATAAGAGAGTTTTTCCTATCCTTTCTTTAAAAGCATTAATTAAGTTATGAATTCTCATGCAACTATATAAAAGTAAGAGATATACATTATTATCCACGAGAAGTTGATGAAACGGTTCGATTGAACCTAGTAACTTTATTGCAAACTCTATATTTGTATAAAGAAACTCACTAAATATGTACAAAAATCAAAATTCAGAACTCAGTCACTAACACATGTTGCTGTTATCCTAGAATTGAGAACCCATAAAGTTCAAATTATGTCTCCGCCTCCGGTAAGAGACAATTATATTTGGCACTTCTGACACCAAAGCAAAGTGAACTACCAAACACTTAGGATTTTCCAAACATCAGAATATTGATTAAACAATCACATTCTCCTGGAATAGTCAACAACGACAACTATGCCTCAATCCTAAACAACTTGGGTTCGGCTATATGAGTCCTCACACACCACGTTCCCCATTTAAATTCATCTCCGGTCATAAAATGGATGGAATAAACAAATTACCGATTTTCTTTAATCAGATTCCAGGACACCTGAAATGGAGAAGAAATGAAATTTAACAAATATATAGAGGTGAACAGGATACAGCATGCAGAGCAGTAGGATCATCCTTCAAAAGATAGACAAGACAAAG